GACATTTCCGGCCGATATCTTTTGGCGGCTGATATATCGGTGCAACCCTAATATTTACAGCAATGCAGAATGGCACAGGCTATAGAGGACTACACATCCCAGCAATACTTTATATAACAATATAATTTCTGTATAAAGTACTGCTGAGATTTGTAGTCCTATATAGAGGGTGCCATTGTGCATTGCTGCAACAGTAGTTTACACAACATTAGGCTACAAATAATAATTATTTTAATTTATTATTTACCCTTACCTCTTCTGGCTGGTCTTCTGTCTTCGCCTGTTTCCTAAGTGTTTTCTGTTTGCTGGGTCCTCACTGCCGTCCGAGGCCCCATGATGTGCCTGCAGGGCTGTCTTCAGTGCCTCCTTGTTCCGTGGCTCCCTCCTCACAGCGGCCGGCGTGCCCCATATTATCTCAGCCGGCGGACAGGCGCATTTCAGTGCGTCGCGGAGCGCCCCCCGCATTTTGGATTGTCAGATGTTAAGATATGCTGGGCCCACCCAGGCTGAGGCAACGGCTGCAGTTCCACCACTGTATAACCCCCCCACACACACACTCTTTATACATTGCACCCATCTCTACATATACCTTACACCTCTACCTGCACACTGTCATCCCTCCAGAAGTATGGGGACAGTTACAGTGTCCCAGCCCCAGCCCCAGCTCACACTACACACAGGTGCTGGAATCCAGTAAGTTGTATAGACAGGTGGAGAGGAGAGGAGAAGGAAAACTCTATATACATTACCCACCTCTCGCACGCGCTGCCCCTCCCGCTCACAGCCGACGAGCCCATCGGAGTGGGCGGGGACCGGGCAGTAGCGGCAGCGTGCTGTGATTGGCAAGCTTGCACCGCCTGGTAGGTTAATTGGCCCTGTATGTATGTGAGATAGGGACCTTATATTGTGAGCTCCCTGAGGGCAGACACTGATGTGAATGTGCAACTATGTAAAGCGCTGTGTAAATTGTCAGCGCTATATAAATACCTGTAATAAATAATAAGTACATCAAATTCTTCTTTTCTTTTAAATTATCATTTTTCTCAGTTTAAAATTCACGAGGACTAAGTGTACTATCTGTAAAATGCTTGTCCTAAATATGAACAATAGAACATTTTTAATAGAACATTGCATAATATAGACTTGCAAAATGATTTTACTGGCATATGTGTTTGCTCTGATCAGCAAACTTTGATAGGAAAATTCCAGAGTGAAGCCAATGTTTTAGGAAGCTCTATGCTTTATAAATGCTGAGGTTCAGTCACTGAGCTCTGCTCATTACACTGGTACAATGAAGCTCTTCACAGTACACCTACTCTGTGTATTGTTTGTTGTATGTGTTGTTGGCAAAGACAGGGAGTACTTCATTGGAATTCAAGAAATCAACTGGAATTATGCTCCTAGTGGAAACAATATAAGGTGTGTTGGGGTGCCATAAAATGATGGCAGTGCAGTGCAACTAACATTCCAATATGCGATTGCGATTGGCATCAAACATGCTCCCTCACCATGCAGATGTGAACGAGGGCATACAATTCACCCGGACATTTACTAGACTCTGCTCATTACACCAGCAAAAAAAAAAGGCAGCAAATGGATTGATTTCTCAAGGAGCTAGCAATCAGGATTAAAACATGGAGCTTGGCGGTGGTGAACTATATACAGCTCATCATTAATGGATAGGTTATACACAGAGGGAGGGGGAGGTGAAGGGGTTCATGTGCAGGACACATATAGTGGGATTATGGAAATGAAGGGGCTAAACTGCAGTATAGGGAGTTAAAGTGTTAATATACAGGTCAGATAGAGAGACAGGATGGAAATGTGATGTACAGTGGAGGAAGGGGGTGAAAAATCCTACCTGCTCCTCTTCCTCTGTGAGAAAAAATGAAGGGCTCCCAAATATAAACACTAGAGTAATTGGTAATCAGGGCAATAACAAGGTACAAATCCACTCTGATAGGCTCTGTACATTGTGTGTGTGTGATCAAAGCTATTCAATGACAGTGCAATTAACTACTGTAGACAGGCATACTGGTTGCCAGTCTTTGATTTCTCTGTAAAGTGCTATTTATAAACTGCACTCCAGAAATATGCCTCCACCTCTCCAGTTTTTTTAAAAGGTATGGCAGTAATAAAGGGGTGAAGTACAGCTTCCTATTTGACCCTTATCTGTGACAGTTTTCAGCTTTCCCTATGCGTACCCCGCCACAACTTCCAATGCACTTCCGCTATGACTGCTTTGTGCCCACCTCCTTCTTTAAGCTATTGCTGTCCAGCTGATTGTAAGTAAATGGGTGAAAAGCTCACTCTTAGAGGCTGTTTTTAAATGTAATTTCCCAACGCCCGGCTTGTGCATGTGCCCCACATTGCTTACAGCCAACGAAAGCCGTTGCATACAAGAATTCTGGTGGCTATAGAGCTACTGAATTGCTTTTATGGTGCTGGGGAGTGTGTGCCCTTCCTCCGCCGCTGCTGCTGGCACAGTGGCTCTCTGTGGCTGAATCACAGGGAGGTCAACACACTTCCAGTGGCTGACCTCCCTTATGATCACTGGACCCAGAAGTGATGTGTATTACTTCACCTTCGGTTTCAGTCTGTCATTTCTCCGGCTGCTGTGGTCGCAGAAGAAGCCGGTGAAGCATATCTCTACTTCATCAGCTTCTTTTGGCTCCCTAGCTGACATTAGGGGTCCAATAGACCCCTGATGTCTCAATAAAGAGGGCCTGTATCTGTACTGTCACAAAGGGGGCATCAATCACTGGTAACGCTAAACTGATGAGTGGTAAAAGCTTTTAAAGCACTGCATATGGGAAGTTTTTGGTATGGTAGTTTTTTTTGCGGATTTCACAAGCACATGCAATTTTAAGGCATGACATGTATCTATTTACCTGCCATGACCCCATTTTTTTATGTTAAATTGGGTAATAATAAATGTTTTATAACGTAATGTTAGGTGAACATTTGGTACTTTTTTCTCTATATAGTAAAAAATAAAAAACTCAGTGGTGACTAAATACCACCAAAAAAATCTCTATTTATCCCAAAAAATATTATATAAAATTTATTTGGGTATGGAATTGTATGACTAAATAAATATCAGTGGAAATACCTAAAATAAAATGGCCTGTACAGGAGGGAGGCTTAACACCCAGGTCCTCAAGAGGTTAAAATGATAGGGCTGGCATAACCAAAAACCCTCTGATTCTAAGCCTTTTGGTCATTGTTTAATCACCTGCTGTCCGGCTGTTGTAATTAAACAACAGCGGCTTCTTGAATGTGGGTGGGCATTTGTAAACGTCCCATCCTGACCGCTCGTGCCCGCCTCTAGGCAGCGCACACGAGCAGGAAATCAGCTTGGAATGTAAACAGCCAGCGATGGCTGTTTACATACAAGCGTTCAGGCGTCTGTAGAGACACTCGATCGCTTGAAATATGGGTGCGGGTGTGCGCCCCCCATCCGTTGCAGTAGTACTGTTCAAAGCCCATTTCGTGTGCACCTTACTGTTTAACTGGTAACAAATTGTTGAGTGCGTTTGTCGTTTGTTTTGCTTTCCCCATCCGTTGCAGCCGCTGCTGTGATCCCGAGCTCCGCTGCGCCCGGTGTGAGTCCAGGACCAGCACAGCAGCTCTGCGACCAGAGATCAAACGGAGATCAGTACACAATCTCCGTTTGATCCCCTCCTCCTCTTCGGAATGCAGGAAGTGATGTGTATTACATCACTTCCGCATTCCTCTGTCACTCTCCGGTACAGAAGCCGGAGAGAAGTGGTGAAGCAGGTATCTGCATCATCAGCTTCTCTGGGGGTCCCTAGGCAACATTAGGGGTCTTTAAACTTAATAAAAGGGACCTGTGACTGCAAATTGGCTATCACATAGGGGGCTTGTTAGTTCATTATGTGATAGCAATAAAGTTTAGTGAAAAAAAAGTTGAAAAAAATTATTTACCAAAAAAATTAAAAAATTAAAAGTCACATATAAAAGCAATAAAAAAACAATTAAAGTCCCCCTCCCCCCCACATACACATGCAGACATGCGTTGAGTGCGCCTACGTGCGCAAACGATGATTGCATCCATTGTGTTGCACATGTTACATATCGCCACAAACGTCGCAGTAAGAGCAATAATTCTAGGGCCATCAATCACTGATAACGCTAAACTGATGAACAGTAAAAGCTTTTAAAGCGTCGCCTATGGGCAATTTTGAGTAGTTTTTTGCGATTTCGCGGGCAGGTGCAATTTTAAAGCTTTATCATGTTTGGTGTCTATTTAACAGACGTGACCCCATCTTTTATATTTTACCAAAAATGTGGGTACTAATCAATGTTTTATAATATACCATAGGGAAAACAGGGTTTTTAAAAAAAAAATCGGTACTTTTTTCATTATATATATTTAAAAAAAACAACGCAGTGGTAATTAAATACCACCAAAAGAAAGCTCTATCTGTCCCCAAAAAAATGGTATAAAATTCATTTCAGTACAGCGTTGCATGACGGAATAAACATCAGTCAAAGTACTGCATGGCTGAATACTGAAAAATGGCCTGGACAGGAAGGGGGTATAAACACCCTGGTCAGCAAGGGGGTAAAGGCCATGCAGTGTATTATGGTTTAAAATAATTCTACAGGGCAAATCTGCACTTAAATTCGCTGGGACCACAAATCTCAAACCCGCAGTATTTGCCTCAAACCTATGTAGAGTATGTAATAGGTACATCAAATTCTTCTTTTATCTTAAATTATCCTTTTTCTCAGTTTAAAATTCACGAGGACTAAGTGTACTATCTGGAAAATGCTTGTCCTAAATATGAACAATTTTTGATAGAACATTGCATAATATAGACTTGCAAAATGATTTTACTGGCATATGTGTTTGCTCTGATCAGCAAATAGGACTTTGATAGCAAAATTCCAGAGTGAAGCCAATGTTTTAGGAAGCTCTATGCTTTATAAATGCTGAGGTTCAGTCACTGAGCTCTGCTCATTACACTGGTACAATGAAGCTCTTCACAGTACACCTACTCTGTGTATTGTTTGTTGTATGTGTTGTTGGCAAAGACAGGGAGTACTTCATTGGAATTCAAGAAATCAACTGGAATTATGCTCCTAGTGGAAAAAATATAATTTCTGGAAATCCCATTGATGATGATGAGTAAGTAATCTTTCTGACATATTTCTCAAACAAACAGAACTCCGGACTAAGAAGAGCAAAGATTGGCAGATAGCCTGTTCTAACATTCTTGGGAAAACGTCATTTTTAGTTTTGTATTGAGTAGAGAATGTCTAGTTTGCTGTTTAACTACTTGCTGTCCAGAGCAGTCTCTTACTATTTGCACACACATGATAAAAGCTGAATTTTTGGCTAGAAAACAGCTTAAAACCCCCAAACAGTTATATATTTTCTGAAAGCAGAGGCCCTGTAGAATACAAAACATGCTAGTTGCAATTTTTTATATTGTATGATATTTGCGCAAATGTTTGTTTATCAAACAAGTATTTTGGGATAAAATAGGCTTTACCGCAAAATACTTTACCAGTCTTTCAGACCCCTAATGCCACCTAGGGACCCCAAAGAAGCAGCAATCTGCTTCTCAAGCTTCTTCTCCTGGCTCTAGGAGCTGGAGAATGTAAAAAGTGACAGTGATCGGTGGAGAGATCAGCGGCTAAAAGCTTGCTGACCTCCCTCCGATCAATGGGGGGAGACCCGCCGTGCCGGTCCCGGGCCCGCACTGGGGTGGGTGGAGCCCGGGGTAGCCGGCTGTACACAACGATACCAAGAACATGGCTGCAGCATGTTCTAGGTATAACCACTTAAGGAGCAGGACATGTATATATACGTGAACATGCCGAAGTGGTTAATGGTTTTTGTTTTCTGTCCCACTGGAAAGATTTTCCACCACTTCTGGTCCTTGAGAGACAAGAGGAAGTAAGAGGAAATCTCTTCAAACCCCCCACAGGAATATTACCCCACGCCTATCACTTTGTTGGTAACTGTAGAATTTTGGATATATCACTTTATTTCCTTGTAATATTAGCCTCTAGGAAAAATAGAGATGGAGAATCTCCCCACCCTGAACTCAAAAAGCAATAAAACCTGACCAGAGCCCCATTCTATTCTTCTATCCTAAAAAACTTGGCTTTTTGACATAGTGTAAAATAGGAGATCATATCACAGTTTCATTTTTCTTATGTAACATACATTATTGTCCACCACTGTACAATTACAATGCAGTTATTCACATAACTACATTGTGGGTTTGTATAACATTGTGCTCTAGTTATTGGTTTCTACTGATGTAATGACAGTAAGAAAACAGCTTTATTATATACTCTATAAATGGATCTGGAATATCCATAGCACTGGTCTGTTATATGTTCTCTGAAGTACTACAGGCCCTGTTAATCTGCTTAGGTCATGGAAGGACATGACTCATACAGAGACCTTTATTTTCTGACTTTTTGAGATTAAATCTGGTCTCTATATTTAGTCTGGGTTGATTTACATGGACTGGGGATTAGACCATCCAATTTTATTATGTAGGACCCAGATATGAGATGAGCGATTAGAACATATGGTGCAAGGATAAATTAAATAAGACAGAAAAGAGTTAAGTGTTACTGCTGTGTGTGCTAAAAATGTGACTCTATCATTACATGTGGTGGGTAGAAATTGAGATATTGTCAGATAAAACTGCCATGGTCTTCTGCTGCTGTAGCCCATTGCCTCCAAGGCTGCACATATTGTACAGTCCCCTGATAATTTGAGCTGGGGTGGACTTCCTGTCAGTTTAAATCCCAACTCTAGACAAAAGTTGTGAGTGAGGAACAGTTAGAACTTCTTTCACTGTGAGGAAAGAGTAAAGTCGCTGTCAGGTTTTTATTGCTCTGTCTGTCTTCCTGTCCTAGCGATTCCCATTTATCCAATTTCTTGCCATGGTATCACAGTGGTGTCATTCAGAGTCACAGTCAGCAATAAAAACCTGATAGAAGTTCTTATCCACTCTATTCAACACTAAAAAAAAATTGTGCCTGAAGTTATTATTATTATTATACAGGATTTATATAGCGCCAATAGTTTGCACAGCGCTTAACAATATAAGGAAGACATTACAGTCACAATACAATTTAAGACAAGATGCTAAGGAGGGCCCTGCCGTGAGGGCTTACAATCTAAAAGGGAGGGGCAAGTGATACATGAGGAAGTTGGACTGAAGTTGGACTTTAAACATGGCTGGCTGTTTTGCTCTCACAATGTGTTTGTTTAAATTTCACTGAGAGAACGCTCGATCTGTATATGTTTGTTTTTGCACCTTTTACTGCAAACTTCAAATAGCATAGTTTATGAAAACTGCAAGAGTTCTGAGATGCTGCAACCACCATTTCTGGAACCAATAAACATTCTACACTCGTACAGTCAAGGTTGTTTCGATCCTGCTTTTTCTCCATTCTTAACTTCAGCTGTACAACAATTCACCCTCCTTACCATGTATTTATGCTTTATGTATCAAGTCACAGACACATCATTCACTGTTCATTTCATTGTGTTACAGTTGTATCTAATATAGCAACCCACTGAGTGCTCACTGTTAATGTTTCATTCCAGGCATGCCAGCGTCTATTTACAACAAGGCCCCAACCGAATAGGCAGAGTCTATAAGAAAGCTTCCTATGTGCAATTCACCGATGGCTTATATACAGAACAAATAAAGAAACCAGATTGGCTGGGATTGTTAGGTCCCATCATAAGAGCAGAAGTTGGGGACACTTTAATTGTCCATCTTAAAAACTTTGCTTCCATATCATACGGCTTACATCCACATGGAGTAGAGTACACAAAGGAAAATGAAGGTAAGCATGTTTGCAGAGAACTATACTGTAGATAGATAGATGGATAGATAGACAGACAGATAATTGTTAAAACATCATCTTAAATTAATAGATATTTCATTGGAAAACGCTCATTGGTGTTCAAATCTTCTCCTACCTCCTTAAAGTGGCACTAATCTCAGGAGGTAAAACTTAAAAACATTCAAGTAGCTCAACTATTAACAAAAATGTATCTTATTTGTGTATGACTCGGCTGTAGATCCTCAAATCATGTCTGAATTGGTGCTGACACTGTCCTTCCTTCTGGAGGGCGGTTACTTTTGTTCCCCCATGATCCCTGTGTGTGTTGTAAAGTAACCACCACTCCAAACACACTTTGGTGATGAACTACAATCTCACATTTAGAGCTGGTGCAGACTTGGGCGACCCAGGATGTGCGTCACTAGACCGCGCGATTGTGTGCAGTTGCACATATAGCGGTTGCCACGCGGCCCCACTGATTTCAATGGGGTTACATCCATGCGGTAATCGCTGAAAAAAGGTACATGTATTTTCTCCACAGGACACTCTTGTAAAGAAGGCTGTAAACAGCTGCCCCCCTCATTGTGATTCCGTGTAACACGATCACTAAACACCAGCTCTGCCTTTGCACACAATACACTGTCCTGGGAAGGGGGGGTGTTGCCACCATGAATACTAATGAATGGGGGAGGGTGGAGAGCTCATTTTTAATGTGCACAGATTGCTTGCAAAACACAGAAACATGAATGTTTCTGTGTTTATACACATCAGCTGCATATGTCTGCTTCATGTAAACTCGGTGTACAATGCTGGCAGATGTTTTGTTTTTTTAAATAACTCCTAAAAGGTGGAAATGGGCTTTAATGTCTCCCAAAACAGTTATTTTTAAGGCATGCCAACTGTTAATGCTGCCAGTGTAACTTTTTCAGCTCTCAACCAAACTTTTAAGCCCTCAAATGGTTGGTGCCATTGCTGTTCACGTGTAGCACCATGGCAACTGCATTCCAAATAGAGGCTAAGATGGCACCTTCTTTGGCTTTAAATGATAGGAGGTTGAAGTTTCCGCTTTAAAGTGATAACTGGTTTGAACCCCTGTCTGATTTTGTTTGTTATTGTTGTTTTGAATGGTGTTTGTGTCCTTGTCAGGGAGATGTAAACTCTCTGAAGTTGACTGCTTAATTTTTCTGCTTTTGCAAGAGTCTTTCAGTTTTTGCTGGTAAAAAGTTATGTAAATGCTTGTGACGTGAACTCATGTATACGTGTTAAAGTGCAGCACATATAAAGACAATAACTCAAATAAAATAATATATACAAACTTTTAGGAGCAAAACTAAAAAAAAATGCATTTGTATGTGTCTCCCTAAAACCACCGTCCTAACCTCAGAACTGGGAATGAAAAACTTGACCCTGTTCTAGCAAGAAGTATGGGCAAGGGTATATCAATGCAGTTGTATTCTGGCTAATGGTCTTCTTTGCAGAAGCTCTTCAAAAACATTTCTTAACATTACAATAAAATAACGTTACCTTCCACTATTTTATACTAAACAAAAATCTTATATCTGAGGCTTCAGCTGCGGGCCTATTGGAAATAACTTGATAATATTTACAGGTGCCTTATACCCAGACAAAACCGCGGGGACACACAAGAAGGATGATGCTGTCAAACCTGGAGAAAGTCATACTTACAAGTGGGATGTAGTGGAAGACCAAGGTCCGTCCGCAAGGGATGATGATTGTATTATCAGATTATATCACTCACACATTGATGGCCCAAAGGATGTTTACTCTGGACTTGTGGGACCCATGATTATTTGTAAGACAGGTGAGCAATAGTTTAATTTTTACTTATTTAATTCATTAGAAGAGTTCTTCACAAAGCATATAAAACTGTTTAAATCAGTCCCTGCCACCCCCACAACCAACGCCCCAGGAAATGTGGGGAAGAGGCCATTTTCCCCATCGGCACGGGGACAAGGTGCTTTCCCAGGGGCGACCCTGGAAAAGTACCCTCCCAGTGCCAAGGGCATGTGGCCTGGTATAGGAAGGAGGGGGGCGCTCACTTGTGTGTGTGTGTGTCCGTTTCCAGCCCTACCAGGCCTATGCTCGGATCAAGGGTCTGGTATGGAATTTTAGGGGGGACCGCACGGGTGAGGTTCCTCCTTAAAATTCCTAGCAGACCGTAAGATCCTACTATGACTTTAAGGGGAACCCCACGCTTTTTTTGAAACAAATGTGGTCCCTCCTCAATTTTCCTACCAGACCTAAAGCGCACGCTTTAAGAATAAAAAAAAAATTTGTACAGATTTGCCAATTTACAGGCAGTTTATGGGGACTCCCCAGGCATGATATCTAAATATTTTTTTTATTTTTATTGTTACCCTTTAAGTGATGTTAAAACCACTGCTCCTTTAAAATCAGTATTTTTGAAAAGTTTTATTTCATTGATTCATGTCCCTCAGGGCAGTACCCGCACCCCCATGCACTTTTTATGGCCAATAATTTGCATATAAGCCCTCTTAAAGGTAACAATTGTTTTTGAAAGTTCTACCCCGATTGACTTGCATTGAGCTCGAGTTAGAACTTTTTGGATGTTATAAAGTTCGAATTCGAACCAAACTCGGGCCTGTTTGGCCCATCACTAGTACTTAGTCACCATGTTAGCTTACATTTTTGTACTGTATAATTGTATTTTTCTTTCTTGAAACTAAGTTTGCTCCCTCACAATTATTAGCTTTTAATACACACCACTATACATAAATGACTTAACTGCAGTGCCATTTTTTTTGCCTGCAGTGGTGAGAGTATGGTTAATTTAGAGAAACTGAAACAAGGATTATGTTTTTGTGTATATATGAAATATAGCACATGAATAGTTTGCTTTCTGCTATTAAGCCAGCAGTTGATACTTTAGGCTTTTTTACATTTTAAAGGCCCTCTGTTTGCTTCTTTTTTAGGAAGTACGTTTACACACTTTAGTAATTCTTCAGCAGTGACTTCCTTATTGAGGGCTGTTTCAGTCAAAGTGTGCCTCAGAGTAAGCTGCATGTCTTGTGCCGCCTCTTTAGTTAACCTGCAGTGCTCTATGGATCCCTTCTCCTTTAACAGATTTTTATTAAAGTTTTACAACCAGATATAGAGTTGGCAATTTAATAAAACAGTACACCTAGATGGATTTAGGAATCCATTTTTATGTAGTAAATATTTACCTTCCTCTTTAACAAAACATATTTCCTATCTGTTCCTCATTTGGAATCAATTCTCTTTGTCGCTCTTTCCTCATCAGTTGTTCCTCTTTTTGTCCTTTCATCCTATCACTTAATTATCTTATTTGCTATTTTAAAAAGCCAGTAAGGAAAAGTAATGATGGAAAACAACAATTCTGAGTTTAACCAATAATTTTTTAGCATATACATTTTTAATGGTCTGCGTAACTGCGGGCATTGTAGGGGTGTGTCTATTACATTGCCTAAATACATTGTGCTGGAAAGTGTCCCACTTTCTCATCTCAGAGGTGGAAGGTACACATATTCTATATTTTAGGTGTAAAGTAGGCAGATGCATAAGAAACTTTTCTATTAAAGGAGAACTATGGGGTCAGTGCTTTTCCCCATAGTTCTCTTAAGGGTCACGGGAGGACAAACACTAGCATCCTCCCGTGACCCAAAGCTCAGTATATTGCGAGCTACAGCTCGCGGTATACTGAGACCACCGCAGCTGAGACGGACACCGACATTACTGTCGAGATCCACCAAGCTGCGTGAGTGACAGCGGGCTCTGCCTATCTAGAGGCAGAGCCAGCTGTGCCCGCCCCCTTCCCCGTCCGTTCCTCCAGTCAGCGCTGGAGGATCGAAAAGGGGAGGAGAGTCATGGCTCTGTGCAGGGAATCGATCGAGAAGTGAGTGAGCAACTGTATGTGTTCGCTCACTTCCCGATCTATTGAGCAAACGTGTGACAGTTTCATTGTCACACGTCGTCTCAAACTATGAGGATGAGTGATTTTCACTCACCTCATAGTTCTCCTTTAATCTTTGAACAGTTGTTTCTATTACAGGTATATTCATTCTAAGATAACGTTTTCTTTGTGTATATCATTTACTTAAGGTGCCCTGGATGGAACAAAGAAGTCTGGAAAGAAAGAAAAAATAGAAGAATTTATCTTGATGTTTTCCGTGATTGATGAAAATTCTAGCTGGTATATAGATGAAAATATCAATAGTTTTACCAACCCTACTGCGGTGGATAAAGAGGATGATGACTTTGTGGAGAGCAATAAAATGCACTGTAAGGCTTTTCTTTTAAAACATATTTAGAGTTCATGGAACACAGTTCCCAGCTAAAATCATCTTGCTCTCACCTATGCTTCTGACTTAGACTGTAGCCTCCTGTGACTTCTGTCATATGAATCTGTAAATACATCATCATCCAGGACTCCATTTCTGCCTTACAAACAGCACAGCACTCACAATTGATTGTGAATACCTAGTCTGTATTAGGGATTAGCTCCTGAGGGTCACTGAAGCTCCTTTAAACTATCCTGGACCTGTTCTTGTGCCCAGAACGAACAGCCCCTAATTGGCTCAATTATTTACTTTTTTTGCACAGAAAAATAATGTATGTGCAAAATGTACAATAAAAACAATTGAAGTGGAAGTACACAGCAATTAAATACATGAAAAAGGAGAACAGAAATACAAAATAAAGAAATTAACAATACTACCCTCAATACAACCACTCTCAAAAAATATATATCATTTAAGTAATTTAAAAAAAAGCACTGGCAGCCAGGCTGGGTCCCTTGTGTACTTTTACCATTTGTCCGCATTTCCCAGGGACAGTCTCCTTCTTTAAGTGGTCTGTCCTTGGGAAAGTCTGCAATCAATTATTTCATGGAGAATCCAAATTGGGTTTGTAATTGTGAGGATGTACTAAAAGGGGTTGTGGTCTAACAAAGCTTTTAAGGTGCCCATACACTGCACAATTCTCGTACGAGAATCGCGGGAAATCCCGCGATCGTACGAGAATCGTGCAGTGTGAATGAAGACGTGCGACTGTTTCTACTGTGCGGTCACACGTCTTTTGTCTAAGGAGCAGGCTAGAAAATCAGCCGAAAATCTTACGATTTTCGGCTGGTTTGAATGATGCTCGGGAGACAAATGCCTCAGGGGGCGGGCTTGTGATGATTGCAAGTACGATCTGCCTGTCCAAGATGGGCAGATCGTACGTTTTTTAATTACTTTAAAACCATCGCAAGACTAAGGTCTTGCAATGGTTGTAAAGTGTATGGCCACCTTTAGAAAGACCAAAAAATGGTTTGATCAAATCAGTTGCTCTGGGGCTGTACTTGTTGCTCTTTTACCATGCATTTAATATTCTGTGTATGTATTGTATCTGTTTTTATATAAAGAAGAACTCCAGGAATTTTTTTTATTAACCCATGCAGTGGGGCAACCCCCGCACTGCAAGGGTTAAGTGATTTCACCATAGGAATGCATATCTAGATTCCTATTGACTATTTCAATTTGCAATAGCCAATAGCAAACTAGCTATTGCACCCGCCCTACTGCTGCTGTCAATCAGCAGAGGGGACCTACAGTTCTCCATCAGGTCCCCTTTAGTGAGGGCAGCAGAACTGCTTGGCCGATAGAAAACAGTTGGGTGGAGCTAGCTGTCACTGCTAGCTCCGCACATTAATTTTCTATTGTTTTTTTTCTACTTTTTTAATTATTTTGCTATTCTGCTCGGTGCCACAGAGGGGCCGAGCAGAACAGCATCTATGAGAATAGACCAAACAGCAGCGAGTAGCCTGCTGGAGGTTCGGCTTAGCCGATCCAGATGTTGGATCAGCTGAGTCGAACTCCTTCTGCACTTCGGTTCGGCCGACATGCTGAGCATGTTCGGCCCACCCGAACCCACACGATGTACGGCTGATTTCAGCCGATATACGGCTGAAATCAGCCATACAAACATGAAGTGAATAGCAAACAGCGTTCGGCTCACTTCACTACGGCAGCTTAGTGAATAGACCCCAATGTGTGCAAACAAGGCAATGAGGCGATCATTCTCTCCATCCGTGTGTGGCCACAGACTGCACTCACCAGATGGGGTGGACTATTCAGATACAAATGGTCTTACAGCACTCAATTAGATACATTTATCCGCAGGGATGTTAAACTGTCAGTATTCCCCTTCACCTCCTTTTCTCCATTCACCAATGCTCGTGGAAAAGTATTAAAAATGCTATAAATGCTGTGGATGTTTTTTAATACATTTCCATGAGCATTGGTGAATGGAGAAAAGGAGGTGAAGGGGAATACTGACGGATTAACATCCCTGCGGATGAATGGACGAATTGTAGTCTGAGTGCGGTAACACTATTTCTATCTGAATGGTCCACTCCATCTGGTGAGTGCAGTTTGTGGCCACACACGGATGGGGAGAGTGATCACCTGATTACCTTGTTTGCACACATTTTGTGAGGATTCTTGCACTGCTTGCATCATTTGCACAAACTTACTGGGACTTTTGCACAAGTTGGTTGAGAGATTTGTGGCATCATTTGGATCACTGAATACTTTTATGAAATTTTAAATGACTTTTCTAATATTTTATTTATTTATTTATTTATTTATTTATTTAATTGTTTAAATATAGTGCTGGGCAGCTTGTTCATGAAAGAGGGACTATTACTCTTTGTCCAGCAGCTGAATTATTTTTGTGTGGATTACATAGATAAGTATACTCACCTGAAGCTCCAAGCCAGCTTCTTCTTAAGGTGGCCATACACTTTACAACCCTCGCAAGACTTTTGTCTTGCGAGGGTTGTAAAGTACTTAAAAAAACGTACGATCTGCCCATCTTGGACAGGCAGATCGTATTTATTTATTTATTTATTTATTTATTTATTTAATTGTTTAAATATAGTGCTGGGCAGCTTGTTCATGAAAGAGGGACTATTACTCTTTGTCCAGCAGCTGAATTATTTTTGTGTGGATTACATAGATAAGTATACTCACCTGAAGCTCCAAGCCAGCTTCTTCTTAAGGTGGCCATACACTTTACAACCCTCGCAAGACTTTTGTCTTGCGAGGGTTGTAAAGTACTTAAAAAAACGTACGATCTGCCCATCTTGGACAGGCAGATCGTACTTGCGATCATCGCAAGCCTGCCCTCCTGAGGGGCGGGCTTACGATGACTGCAAACGGGCTGTGTGTGCGTGCGCACACCGGCCCGTTCGGCAGTTGTCGAACCAGCAGGCCACTAAGTCACCGAGAATCGTACGATTCCCGGTGGGTTTTCTAGCCTGTTTGTTCGATGGAAGAGGTGTGACCGTACAGTAGAAACGGTCGCACGCCTTACATACAGTGCACGATTCTCGTACGATCGCGGGATTTCCCGCGATTCTCGTACGAGAATTGTGCAGTGTATGGGCACCTTTAGACTGGTGCTTCCAGCATCTCTCCCCCTCCTCTGCAGTGGTCTAAGGTCCTGTAAGTCATCACATCTATACACTGTGTATAGACGTGTGGACACAGAGGAAGATTCCAATGTGCTGCGGAGGAAGAGACAGGCTGGAGGGAGTGCTTTGACAGCTAGCCGACTCGGAGCTTCAGGTGAGTCCCGAAACACAAACAAGCAATTAAACCTTGCAGTGTGGGAATAGCCCCACTGCTTGGGTAATTCAAACTTTTCCTGGAGATTTAAAACAAGTTCCCACCTTTGTTTTTCCTTGCTGCTTCTTTACTATTATAAACATTCCTCTAAATGAAATGAAGCCTATACATTAAGCCTATTTTTGTGTTTCAGCAATCAATGGATACATGTATGGGAACCTCCCAGGCCTTTCTGTATGTGATGACACAAATGTGAGATGGTATCTCTTTGGTATGGGGAATGAGGTGGATGTACACTCAGCCTACTTCCATGGCCAAGTGTTAACATATCAGAATTACCGTGTGGACACTCTAAGTCTTTTCCCTGCATCCATGGTTCAGGCATCTATGCTTACTAAAAACCCTGGGAAGTGGCTTCTCAGTTGTCAAGTTAATGACCATTTAGAAGGTATGTTAGGTTTAGATGCTTAGAGATGCACAGCTTTTTTATGTAACAACTTTTCAATAATTGGGTGACATTATGTCATATGCCATCATTGTATAATGCAATATGATGTTCCTTGACAGGTGGTATGCAGGCACTCTATGAAGTAAGAAACTGCACAGCAAAGAAGTCCTGCAGTTTCAGTACAAAGTTTCGACAGTATTACATTGCTGCAGAAGAGATCATGTGGAACTATGGACCAACATCAATGAATCAGTTCACTAGACAGAAGCTTGATGATGCTGACAGGTAGGGTAATGACACATCATTTAACCCCTTCATGACTGAGGCCTTTTTTTCATTTTTTGTACCCATGTTATATTCCACATTTTAGGCCTGAAAATTACTTAAAACCCACCAACATTATATATTTTCTGAATGCCAAGACCCTATAGAATAAAATGGTGGTAGTTGCAAATTTTTATGTTGCGCAATATTAGCGCAACTCCTTATTAAACCCCAATATTTAGTGAAAAATTTAATTAAATGCCCCAAAACACAACAAAATACCCATTTTTTAATGAAATATAAAAGATGAGGTTACAACGAGTAAAACGATACCCAACATGCCCAGGTTACAAATTGCGTGCATCCGTAAAACGGCAAAAAACCCCAGTAGCCCAAAAAGTCCATAGAAGACGCTTTAAAAGCCCCCACAGGTCATCAATTTAGAGATACCCCAAAATACTGGCCCTAGAATTATTGCTCTCACTC